CTATTATCCCATTCTTGGGCAAAGTGCTGGAGCGGAGCTAAAAGCTGCCAGAGAGGGACTGGTCGAGTGGGACCAAGGGGTAGTGAATGCCTCCTTGCAGCAGGGTAGGATCCCAACTTGCTTGAAGGAGGCCATAGTAAGACCATTATTGAAAAAGCCCACCTTGTACCCCACAGTGCTGGATAATTACTAGCTAGTCTCTATTATCCCATTCTTGGGCAAAGTGCTGGAGCGGATTCTGGTTTCTCAGCTCCAGGGACTCCTGGATGAGACACATTATCTAGATCCATTTCAGTCTGGCTTCAGGCCTGGTTATGGGAAAGAGACTGCTTTGGTCGACTTGGTGGATAACCTATACTGGGAACTGGACAGGGGGAGTGTGTCCCTGTTGGTTCTGCTGGACCTCTCAGCGGCTTGAAATACCATTGACCATCATATCCTTATCTGTCTCTCTGGGACGGAACTTGGAAGCACTATTATACAGTGGCTCTGGTACTTCCTGGAGGGGATAACCCAGAGGGGGGTACTGGGGGACTCCTGTTCAACACCTTGGCCTTTGGGATCTGTTTTGTTCCCTATGCTATTTAATATCTACATGAAACCACTGGGAGAGGTTGTCCAGAATTTTGGGGTTCCTTGTCACCAGTGTGCTGATGACACTCAACGCTATCTCTCCTTTCCATCTAAATCTAAAGAAGCTGTCTCAGTTCTAAATCAGTTTCTGGTGTCAGTAAAGACTTGATGAGGGCGAATGAACTGAAACTTAATCCAGACAAGATAGAGGTGCTCCTGTTAATTCGAAAACCAGGGGTGCTTTTGCATAGTTAAAACTAGTGTGCCACCTGCGCCCATTTCTTGAAAGGTCTGATCTGGTAATGGTGGACACATGCCCTAGTTGCATCCCAGATAGATTACTGTAATGCTCTCTATGGGGGACTGCCTTTGGAAAGTTTTTGGAAACTGCAAAGGGTCCAAAATGCCACAGCCAGATTGTTAACTGGGGATGGTTACAGGAAACATATAACTCCCCTGTTACAGCAGCTCCACTGACTGCTGATCCATTTCTGGGCACAATTCAAAGTGCTGGTTTTAATCTTTGTTGTTTAGTCATTTAGTCGTTTCCAACTCTTCGTGACCCTATGGACCAGAGCACGCCAGGCTGTCCTGTCTTCCACTGCCTCCCGGAGCTGGGCCAAATTCATGTTGGTCACTTCAATGACACTGTCCAATCATCTCATCCTCTGTCGTCCCCTTCTCCTCTT